CCCCACGATGGTCTCCATTCCCTCCCTCCCCACCTTCCCCATGTTGTCTCCAGCCATCCAGGTCTCTCTCCATCCCTCCCTCCCTCCCTCCCTCCCTCCCCACGTGGTCGTCCTCCACCCCTCTCTCCATTCATCCATCCATGCATATGTAATTTCCATCCATCCGTCCATCCACGTTGTCTCCATCTGACTCCATGGGGTCTCCATCCATCCATCCATCCATCTTCCGTCCATCCATCCATCCATCACCCCCATATGGTGTCCCTCCATCCCTTCTTCCATCCATCCATCCCTCCATCATCTTCCGTCCATCCATCCATCCATCACTCCCATATGGTGTCCCTCCATCCCTTCCTCCATCCCTCCATCATTCCATTTATCTCTTGATCCTTCTATCTCTCCCATCCATCCATCCTTTCCTCCATCCATCCATCACTCCTATAATGGTGTCCCTCCATCCCTTCTTCCATCCATCCATCCCTCCATCATCTTCCATCCATCCCTCCATCCATCCCTCCATCCCTCCATCATCTCATCCATCCCTCCATCCATCCCTCCATCCCTCCATCATCTTCCATCCATCCATCCATCCACACATCCATCATCTTCCATCCATCCATCCCTCCATCATCTTCCAACCATCCATCCATCCATCCATCCATCACCCCCATATGGTGTCCCTCCATCCTTTCTTCCATCCGTCCATCTCTCCATGCAGCTACTCATCCAAGTTGTCTCCACCGATCTCCATACGGTCTCCATCCCTCCATCTCTTGATCCATCCATTGCCCCGTCCATTCACCCCTTCCCTCCGCCCCTATGTGGGGTCCTTCCATCCCGTCTTCTATCCGTCCATCCACTTCTCCGTCCATCCACCCAAGTTGTCTCCACCTATCTCCATGTGATCTCCATCCATCCCTTTGTCCCTCCCTTCATCCATCCACCCAAGTTGTCTCCCTCCCTCCCTCCCTCCCTCCCTCCTCCGCTCACCGGGTCCAGGGGGGGCCGGGGGCAGCGATGGCCGTGGCCGTGTCGGCTCCCGGTACTCCCCCCGGCCCGGGGGGGT